TTCTCTTAGACTGGAAATATAAAACAATTAGATTGGGTAAACATTTCGTTGACACCTACTATATATAGCATATGATTCAGATCAAATTTATCTGAATTCTTGAAAACATTACAAACTTCTTCATATCTAAATATAAAAGTATGATAAATACATACAACAAGTTGTTGAATTCTATAGCATCTTATAACACCAAGAATCGTAGATTTCAGGTCAACTCTTGAAAATGAAAAAAATCCTAGCAAAAAGCAATTCATTCCCCTTTTAATGTGAGGATGCGACTTTGAGCCAGTCAAGATCTCAAAACAGATATCGAACACTAAATAGAAAACCAATGAATTCTTCCATCTAGGCCAATGATTTTTTGTATAAAAGTTAGTAGTATATATCTTTTACCATTTACACAAGACAACTTCTTCTTTTCTTGGTAGAATTGACATCAACAAACCTGAAAAATGACTCAATTTCCTCTTGCTCATCAAAAAACTTGAATTCATCAATTAATTTCCTCTTGCATGAAGAACAAGAAGACACCCTTTTTGGCTTCTTAGGTGCTGGTGGACAACTAAGAATTTTTGGGATCAAATATTGAGAAGATTTTGGAGTTTGACAATTAATATATTGATCATCTTCATCATCATTAGAAGAAGTAATTACTTTGATATATGGTAATTTCTTCTCTAATAATTCTTGTGGGAGTTCTTGATCTATAGACATTTTTTTTTGTTGTGTGTGGAATAATGTTTCTATGGGAGGGATGTTTATGAAGTTAGATGTGAATATATAATATATTTATATATGAGTGGAAAAAGAGAGAGGAGTGCAATGGAAGGTAATGGAGTGAGAATAAAGAAAGAAACAAAAGAGGCTTTTGATATTTCTTCATTCTTACACAAACATATGAAAGCATGAGTTCTACCTACCTTTTCTTCTATGTCTTTTTCACCGACAGAGTCAGAATTTAAACTTTATGAGTTCTGAATTTTAAAATAACAATACAACTTCAAATAATATTAATTAGAACCAAAATATTCATGTTTGTCACGTTTGTAGTAAAATATATTATCTAAATTATATACGATGAAATGTGTCTTTTTCTTAAACTCTCTGTGAACGCGTGATATTTTGTGTGGTGAGTTGCCCCTTATTCACGTTTTAGGCAAAAAAAGTGGTATAACTATATACCGACTTTGTGTACCTTTAAAACCGTCACATTCCTCTTCTTTCACCTTTTCAGCTCACCATATTCTCTTTGGCATGTTTACTGAAATTTAGGCAATTTTTATATAATTTTTATATTCTAATTAAAAAAAAAAGGGAATTAGACTATTAATGCTCTTATATTAAAAAAATATTTTGGAAATTTATATTGTATACACCTTTTAGTACATTAAATAATGTAAAATAATATTCATGCTATATTAGTTTTCTGAGCGATTGAAAAAAACTTTTCACCTGTTTTGGGTTATATCAATGAATTGAATTTTGGGTTTTCTTTTAATACCGGTAAAGATTAATTTGTTCATTTATTCAATTTATATAGTGTTAAATCTTTATGAATTAATCCAATTTTTATTTGATTTATCAATTGCCAAAAGGTATAAAAAAGTCACTTCTTTTTTATTATTTGCAATGAAGTGTGTTTTGCCTTTGTATTAATTTATGTGTCATAATTCGAATTTTAAGATTCAAACAAGTATTTCTTTGACTGTATTTTTTTTTTATATATCTTTTAAATATTTTGAACAGTCAATTAGTGTGAGATATCATTACTTTTTGGGTAGTTTTCAAATATGTATAGTTTTCAAAAAATTTAAAGATTCTATGCCTGAATTCGGATCAAAATCAAACTTGTTTGACTTTAGAAATTCTAACTGTGCCACCTAAATTGAGATAGAGAATTAGTGTGATATATAACTATTCATTAGGTCTTTATATTGAAGATTGAGAATATTGTGGAATTGTTTGTTAAATCAATTAATACAGAGTATAAAGTTGGGATATTTATAAATAAAAATGACTTTTGCCCATAAGTAACTCATTGGTACATTTGGCTTGTTTGGGTTCGTTCTGCTATGTTGCTCAAGACTCTTCAGAAAAGCGATTGAATCTGTATAGAATTCTCCAAAAATGCACTATTTTTGGAGCATTCGACACTCAATTATTGTCATTTTGAAGAGTCTGAGCAACATAGATTACATTATGACGTACATTTGAGCTTACCATATTTATTAGTTATCTTTTGCCATGGTTGTGGTTATCATGTTTTTGTTCGAGTTTGAATTTGATCCGTTATTCTATTTTGTTGTTAATCGTAGACTTGACGATGGAGGAGAGCCAAATAGTTTCGCGAAATAGTGGTCTTCTAGCTCGTGTTTTTCAAATTCTGGATTTCGTATACTAAAAGTTTGTTTCCAGTTAGAAAATGGAATAGTATCACGAAATAGTGATCTTCTAGCTCGTGTTCTTCAAATTTTGAATTTCATAGTTCTTTTGACAATTTTTGTAAATGTTATTGAACCTTTACTGAAAATATGATTTCAGTGTTTTGGGCATCAATGGCTCACCCTAGTGCCTTGTCTGCTATGTTAAGAGTTTGCAAAGTTTATAAATGGTGATTTATTTTAATATAACGTTAAGATAAACTGGATCAAATGACTTTCATGTTTAAATTATATATAAGTGTTTTAGATGTTGCGTGCAAACAAATAGAGGTGCTAATATATTTAGGCAGGCAAATTCATCTAAATTTATGTATTATCAATTTGGTTTATCAGTTTTCTGTTTCAAAATACGCATAAACCAATAAAATATTTATATTTAAAGTTAAAATGCTTAATTGCCAATTCAAAAGTGCATAGCCATGTTGCTGAACAACTCATTTGATGCCTTTTGAAAGTTGTATAAATCTTATCTAAATTGGTATATTAAAGTCGATACAAAAAAATCTCTGTCCTTTCTTTTTAAAAATAAAATAAAATAACATTCCAGTTTGTCTCCAGCCATAATTTGATACTCTTTTTGTTAGTTCCCACATCTTGGGCACCATCACTCATATTTTAAAATCATAAAGTCCTTTTGTAATTAATTAAAAATTTTGAGTTTAAATTCTGAAATAAATAGAAATTCAATAGAAGAAAAGGGAGGGAAAATAAGGGGTTGTTGTCATTAACGATGATGATGTTTGGAGCTCAAACTATATAAATGAAAAAAATTCTTGATAGAGCGTTTCTTCTATAATAGATTGTAATCGTAAATTTGAACTATTCAAATCAATAAATCTTATTGTCGAGATATTAAATGATTAAATTCAACAAAAGGTGTCCATGATTTATTTTTATTTTTCAATTAATTTTTCACGAAAAATCATATATATATATTTGGAATCCGACCAATCGAAATTCTTTTAATGAAGATAAATGCAAATATAACTTTCATCGTATGAAATCCTAATTTTTCTGCAGAATTGGATTGCAAATTATGTGGTCCAACAACTATATTTGAATATGTCATGTTTCTTTCTACTTTTTATGTTTTCGCTTTAAAGATATTTTTACAATAATATTTGAACCGCAAATTACGAATTCGACAGAATAAAATAGCTTTAAATCAAACTCTATATTCATATTAAGAATTCTACTTAATATATATAAACTATTATTCCTGACCTAATTATTATTTAAATTTAAAATTATGAATTTATCTCTTGTATTTTCACGTGTCAATACATTTCAACAAAATATAATTCTATTTTTTTCTTCAAAAAAAGAATAGGAATAAAATAGTGGAAAACTTTGCAATCGTCAATTTTGAAATTAGAAGGGGCCACACCTCATTATTAAACATTACATTTGATATCATCAATCATGGGCTTCAAGTGTAATGTTTATAATAATAATAAGGTATGACAAATTAACTTGGAGAAAATGACCATAAATGATAATATAAAATAAGATAATACTATTGTAAATAAATAATTGTGTTTTAGAAAAGAGGTCTTGAATTCGAGTTCTCTTGAGTACGGAGTCACCTTTGTTAAGAGCATTTTATCCTCCAATGTGAAATTCTCTCACGCAAATCCAAATTTAATCTGACTCCAATATAAGTATCAAATATCAGATGAGAAATTAAAATTTACTGAAAAATTATATAGTTAATCTTATAATTAATTTGAGATTGAAGTAAACTTAATTAATTGCTTGATCTTATTATTTATTTAAACTTAGAAGAATACGACATAAAACGTATTTAGTTTTGTGGAGGGGGTTAATGCAAGTGTCAATTAATTGTGTTCAATGATTAATTGTTTTATGTCAATAAATGCCTTAATGTTATATGGTACAACAATAATAATATATCAAAAAAAATTCCAACATAATATATACACAATTTTATATATTTCCAAACATGAGATCAATCAAATTATAATAAAACAAGATCCATATTATTATATCTTTTAATTTCTTAGTTATACTTTAAGGTTATTCATATACTTAGCGTTAACAAATAGTTTCATATTTTCCTCAACTTTAACATTGTTGCCACATTAAGTATCAAGAAAAATCATAATGTCTCAAGCTTAAATTACAACGAAAATACAAAATAATAATCAACGTACACAAAAACTAATTTGAACCTTACTATCACAACGTACAATACTTCAAGCAAATCTTTATCTTTTCTGTCCTTAATTACAAGTATTGAATTCGAACTTTGAGTATGAAACAAATTCTGATAGAAACGTCACTTTTGAAATGGACCATACAGTGGACGTTTCAAATTTTATTGGAACTTCAATATGGACATCGAGTATCGAGTGGAAAATAGTAAAAGTATGTGTGTTTTATAATGACAAATGAAGACAACTCATCATTCAAGAAAAACAACTCCCTTGCAAAAACAGAGAGAAAGAACTATGTGAGAGAGAAACGCAAATCACAACCAAAAGAGCAAATCAAATCAAAAATCTTCTCAAAGTCTCCATTTCTCTCTCAATTTTCTTCAAATACATAACAATTCATCAAGACCCACGAAGAAAAAGAGAAAAAATCTCGGATGTTGGTTAATTTTTTTGTATTTTCTCTCACATCACGTGCATAGCACGTGCCTAACGAGATCTCGCTGGCGGCGACCGGAGATACTTTCCGGCGACATCTTTCACCTTCTTTGTTAATGGGTTCTAGTCCAATTGTGGTTTCCGGGTCTTCAGGTACGAGGAACCGACCCAATAACAAGAGCAAGAATGATCCGTGTGTTAGCTCTTCTGGGTTTGTGTATTTACTTGTGTCGTTTGTAGCTTTGGGTTCAATTGCTGGGATTTATGTTCGGTTTATGATGACCCCAAATGTCCATGCGAGTATCTCTTCAATAGGATGTAAAGAGGATGATGAGGGTTCTTGGTCAATTGGTGTTTTCTATGGTGATTCTCCTTTTTCCCTCAAACCCATTGAAGATGTAAGTCTTTTGTTTTTGTTTTCATATTGTATGATTTGTTCTTCTGTTTGTTATTTTGCTGAATTTTGGGTAAATGGGGTTCTTTTTTGGCTTATGGTGATGTTAACTGCTTGTTCTTGTTGGGTTTCATTTTGGCTCAGATTCAGTTTTGTGTTTGAAATTTGAATGTTTTGAGGTTTTGGGTTAGATGGGTATTTGTTAAATGGGCAATTCCTTGTGATTAGTTTGAATATGATTGGATTTCCTGGATGGTTGCATATAGAGATGAGTGTACTCTATAACCTTTTGCTCAAAGTTTAAGCCTTCCATTTTGGCTCAAAGTTTCAGTCTTGTACTGTTTTGGTTTGAATTTTGAATCTTTTGAGGTTACGGGACTATCGGGTACTTGTTAATGGGAAATTCCTTGTGATTAGTTTGAATATTGTTGGAAAATTTCTGGATGGTTGCACTTAGAGTTGAGTGTACTCTAACTTTTTGCTCAAAGTCTTCTGCCTTTCATTTTGGCTCGAAGTTTTAGTTTTGTACTGTTTTGGTTTGAATTTGAATCTTTTGAAGTGATGAGATTTTCGGGTACTTGTTAAATGGGCAGTGATTGATTTGAATGTTAGAAATTTCTGGATGGTTGCACATCGAGATGAGTGTACTCTATAACTTTTTGCTCAAACTTTTATGCCTTTCATTTTGGCTCAAATGTTGGTTTGTTACTGTTTTGGTTTGAATTGGATCTTTTATGCTTCTAGAGTTTGGGGTGTTTGTGAAATGTGCAAATCCTGGTGATTATTTTTGGAAAGTTTCTTGACGTTGCGCATAGAGATGAAAGTTCACTCTTAACTTTTTGCTCAAAGTTTGATCTTTTTTAAGGCTTAAGGTTCTAGATTTCTTGTAATTTATTGTAATATGACTTTTGTGTCTGGAAATGTTTGGCAGATGAATATATGGAGGGATAAGAAAGCGGCATGGCCAGTAGCCAATCCTGTAATCACCTGTGCTTCAGCCTCTGTGGCTGGGTTTTCCAGTAATTTTGTTGCTGACCCCTTTCTTTATGTTAAGGTAATCTTTAATTCGTTGATTATTGACTGGTTGTAGTAAGTAATCACTAGTAAATGTTATCCCGGAGTAAATTGCTTTTGTAGATTTTATGATATGTTATTAAAATGAAGCATCTTTAGCTTTATTTATCATGTAATCAAGTTGGTGAAATGATGGATAAGTATCATTGATGAGACCTGTCTGGATGAGGATTTAACATTAATCCTCTATAATTATTAGCATCTTATAGTTAGTTGATGTGACATTATGGAAGGGATGGGTAGTATTTCTAATTACTGTAAGTGCGTTGAGGGGGAATTGATTAGTTAGGATGGGAAATGTTGATGGTTGTTTCTTACCAATATTCTCTTGGCTCTTTCTTGTGTTTCTTTCCTCGGCTATATTTTACATTTATCCTGCTGTGAGTATACCTAGAAGGAGAAGTATCCAAATTTTAAATTATAGCCGAATGTATCCAAGGCAAGGTTTCAATCTCATTAAGTCCTCATCCTTCCTGTACATTGTAATGCTCTGTTGTTGACCAGTCTATCTCATAACCGCAGCAAGTCATGAGAATCCAAATTGTGGGATGCCATTGTTTTTTCTTTATTTCTTTTTTTGTTTAACTGTTTGGTGCCTTGAACTCGTTAACCTGACTAGTTGAGATTTGCACTGCGTAGTGTCCTTAGTACATATAAATATCAGCAAAATAGTATTTTTATACTACTCCTTGTATACAGTAATTACTATATTTTACCTACTTTAATACCTCAACCAAACACTGAAAGATGATCCAGAAAATGATTCTCTTTAACTCCATACCATTGGCACCCTTCTGTTCCACTCATTTCATTCAAGCAACATAGGTAGTTCTTGTCGATGGTTTCTCTTTTAGTCCACCAACATAGAGCTTAAAAAGGAATTAGATTTAAACTGATACCTATTCGATTATGGGTGCGCTTTTACAATTGAGTTTGTGGGTTTCAAATCCCTTGTATGTGTTGCTGATTCTTATAAAAAAAATAAGAATAAAAATACAGGCTTGATTAGAATATTAACCGTTAGAAGCAGGACTGTTGAGTTTCAGTAATGCAATTGGGTGTCGGCCCCATAATATTTTGCATATGAGAGTAACATCACACATATGACATGTATGTTTGGTACTGTGCGATAGTTATGTTTGAGTTTCTTTCTTCTTGGTGTTTGGTTGTGCTGGAAGTTGAAGCCTAGAATATTTAGATTTCTCTACTTCTCTGCCTACAGGATCTTGATTATTTTTGTTGTTTTTTGTTTGTAAAACCTAAACTTTGAACTTCTTTTGCATTCCGATCTGGTGTGCGACATCCTTAATCTGAGGTTTGATGATATAATTCAGGGAGATGTCTTTTACCTGTTCTTTGAAACAAAGAATTCAATTACAATGCAAGGGGATATTGGAGTTGCGAGAAGTACTGATAAGGGAGCATCATGGGAGCAGTTAGGTATTGCTTTGGATGAAGACTGGCATCTGTCCTATCCATATGTCTTTGAATATAATGACAATGTAAGTTCTTGGTTACGTGAACAATTTGCATTTCATATAACTCAATTTCATCTGTAACAACGTTAGACTTGTTGTGTAAAAATCATAATAATGAGGTTGAAGGTGGAAATAGAGGGGCCAGAGGGAAGAGAAGGATATTCAAACACTGGATATGTGAGTAATGTGTGCAGGGCTCATGATAGCATGTGTGAATATTCATATTCATTTGTATACTTGACGCTTATTAATTGATTAAATCCTCCATCAGTAGAACAAAACTCATAAATTTACTATGTGCCATCTTACTAGAATTTCGTACAGTACTGATACCATGTAATGCTATAGATGATTATGCTCTTATATGTCTTGATTATGTAAATATTGGAGATATTTTTGGACAGCGCCAAATACAAGAGATACACAATTTTCTACTCTTTGTTTCAATTTGTTTGTCTAGTTATGATTTGGCACAGTGTTTAAGAAAGTAAAGAGGACTTTTGAATTGGGGTCTTAAAACAAATGACATGTAAAATGTACCAAAATACCCTTTAATCTTGGGGTTCTAAACTAGAATTAAGGAGTTTCAAAAAAAGGAATGAGACATTCTTTTTGAAACGGACTAAAAAGGAAAGTAAGGCAAAGAAATTGCAACGAAGGGAGTGTTACTTAATTTTCATTCTTCTTACATTTTTCTTACCAGCAAATATGAATCTTGGAAATCATTATTTTTGGTTGCTTACAGCTAACATTTAGGTCTATTTTGCTTTGACTAGTGATTAATATTTTCATCAATTGTATTATTGTCTACAGATATATATGCTGCCTGAGGGCAGAGCAAAAGGACAACTTCGTCTTTATCGAGCTGTAAATTTTCCCATGAAATGGACACTGGAAAAGATCATAATGAAAAAGCCGCTTGTTGATTCATTTATCATTCCACATGATGGAAAATACTGGCTATTTGGTTCAGATCACAGTGGTATTGGTGCACAGTATAATGCTCAGTTGGAAATATGGTACAGTAGGTCACCGCTTGGTCCTTGGAGACCACATAAGAAAAATCCAATCTATAACACAGATAAGAGCATGGGAGCCCGAAATGGAGGTAGACCATTTTTATTTGATGGTCATCTTTATCGTGTTGGCCAAGACGATGGTGAAACATACGGGCGGAGGGTACGCCTCTTCAAAATAGAAGTTTTGACTACTGATAGGTTCGAAGAAGTTGAAGTCCCAACGGGCCTTAAAGAGTCCATTAAGGGAAGAAACGCCTGGAATGGTGCTCGCAGCCATCATCTTGATGTGCAACGATTAAGCTCCGGAGAGTGGGTTGGAGTTATGGATGGGGATCGAGTGTCTTCAGGTGATGCAAGTAGACGGTTTCATTTAGGTTGTGCGTCAGTCTTAGGTGTGGCAGCCCTGGTTATACTGTTCGGTGTGTTACTTGGAGCTGTTAAAGGTTTAGTTCCCCTTAGTTGGTGGCCGCATAATGTTGGAAAGAGGAGTGATGCTTCATTGGATTGGGAAAGATCGAGCTTGTTCTATTCTAGAATGAGACTATTCTGCAGCCACTTGAATAGAGCAAGCTCATCACTCCGTGCCAGAATAAAACCAAACTCATGTAGTGGAAGCTTGATTCTTACTTTAATATTTTTGGTAACGGTGGTCTTAATGTGTACTGGAGTTAATTACATATATGGAGGTAGTGGTGCGCATGAAGCTTACCCGTTGCATGGTCAGTACTCTCAGTTCACTTTATTAACAATGACCTACGATGCACGGATCTGGAATCTGAAAATGTATATCAATCATTACTCAAGATGTTCTTCAGTGCGCGAAATTGTTGTAGTGTGGAATAAAGGACAACCTCCAGAATTGAGTGAATTTGATTCTGCAGTGCCAGTAAGGATTAGAGTGGAGGAAAGAAACTCACTAAATAATCGATTCAAGGTTGACCCTTCCATAAAGACAAGAGCCGTTCTTGAGCTTGATGATGACATTATGATGCCTTGTGATGACGTTGAACGAGGATTTAAGGTATGGCGTGAGCATCCTGAGCGAATTGTAGGGTTTTACCCCCGACTAGCAAATGGTAGCCCGTTGAAGTACAGGGCTGAGAAACACGCTCGGAAGCACAATGGATATAACATGATTCTGACTGGAGCAGCCTTCATGGACACTAAAATGGCTTTTGAAATGTACTGGAGCAAAGAGGCAGCACCAGGTAGAGAAGTAGTAGACAATCTTTTCAACTGTGAGGATGTGTTGTTAAACTACCTGTACGCAAATGCAAGCTCTTCAAATACAGTCGAATACGTGAAACCTGCATGGGCAATCGATACTTCAAAGTTCACTGGTGTCGCGATTAGCAAGAATACGCAGATTCACTATGGCCTTCGGAGCAGTTGCCTTCAAAAATTCTCTGAAATGTATGGAAGCATAACCAATCGTAAGTCGGAATTTAACCATCGGATGGATGGTTGGGATGTATAGCTAGAAGAAAATTCTAACACCAGATTTGAAGTTAGCAGTTTTTTTTCTTCTTATTTTTCAATCTTTCTTGTTGGTATAATTTTTGGTTTTGATGATTCGTAAGCGTTTCTTTATCCCTCCTGTTGTGAATTTTTGTAAGGGGAGGGACTCTTGTTGTAAGCTAGTTTTGTCAGTCTCAGATGCACTTTTCACTTAAAATTTCTTGTTTAAATGCACATATTTGATATTGATACTACTTCTTTGTCATCCTTCTATCAGAAAGAAAATTTTTTGTTGAGATTTTTTTCTTTCAACTTGTTTCTTTAGGAAGAAGGCAATCATTCATAGGACGAGACGTTAAAGATGAATTTTTGGTAAGTAGATTACCTTGCCTTTTAAGGAGAACAGTTAGAGGTTGGAAACGATGCTGATATCAAACAGTTAAAGAATTCTCCGTTTGCTTCAAAATTGCCAGCCTATTTGCTTTGGGCCGAAGTGTAAGTAGCTCGCAAAGAGGGAGTTCCCTTACTGGTACCAATAGATAGAGCTACTAATAAGATAACCAAAAGTGATTTTTGGAGAATATGGAATCATATCTAATGATATGGAATCATGAGATGAAATCAACGTAAAATCGCATATTCAAACGTTGATTTTATATTACAATTCCATATTGTGATATGGTATCGCATAGAACGCCTACTAAATATAATGAAGCAGAAATTTTATTAGACTAAAATAACATTTGTAAGAAAATATTGGGGGTCTTAATTAACAAATTAGACTTATTTCGGTGTCAATTCCAATTTCCAAAGTATAGTCGGAGAAGGATAACAGTGACGGCGAATTTGTTTATAAATATTTCACCGGCGAGTTTGTTTGTTTGTTTGTTTTCCGATGGGTGAAGAAAAAATAGTTTATTTTCCGGTGGATGAAGAAAACACAGTTTCTTTTCCGGTGGACGAAGTAAACGAAGTTTATTCTCCGATGAAGGAAAAAATATATGTTTGTTTTCCGATAAACGGTGGAGGAGAGGAAATTGTTGTATCTCCGAGGAGCCGATATGATATGACAGCATTTGAGATTTGGGGATGTATTAGTTGTATATATAATGGTCGATTAATCCGTAAGTCTTCTCTAATTTGTGAATTAGGGTTTGCTAAAATTTGGAGATTGAAAACAAAAAATTAAGTCTTTTCAATAGTTGAATGAATGCCTTTGTGAAAATCGATGCTGAATTGTTGATTTTTTCTTTGTTTCAGCGGAGTTGTTGTGGTGGGTTTTTAGTAGCTTTCCGCCCTATAGTTTGAGTATTGCGTTCAATTATTTCATGCCTATTCCCATTCATATGGTAGTAATCTTCTGTGTGGCCAACCTTTTCTACATTACACTTCAAGCCATTGTCCTGCTCTACCCTTTGTTGAACAATTATTGGTATCCCTACAAAACTCAATTCCGATCAATAGGTCCCAAAGGGAAGTTTATGATCGACATCATTCCCGCTCTAACTGCTGCAGCTTTGAGTTTGAATTTGTTGAATGATGCGGACGATAAGGGGTTATGGCACTTTCTAGAGTTTAATTATGGATATATCTTTCTGCTGTTTGGCTGCACGGGATATTTCTACCTTATTTCTCACTTTATGCGTAGAGCGTATGATATTAGTGGAAAGGACGTTATGTTGGGATTAGCAATGCAAGTCTTTTGCTTTATGATGATGAAGGGGATATTGTTTGTTAGAGTCATCGCTTTGTGCTTCTGCTTAGGTATAAGTATCTATAGATACATGACATATTCCGCTCCTCCTGTATTACCTCCCTGTCCCAAGATGGAGTCGTCTGATATGCTGCCTTACTGATCTGAACGTGTTAGCGGATGCCTTTCATATAACTTTCTTGCTTTTTTGTTGTTATTTTGGACGTACTATAATTTATTAGAATGCCTTAAATTTTCAGTAATGTTCGCTCTTACTTTGTTTGCAATATAATATGTCTTGTTCTAGTCTTTATATATGACATTTCTTATGAAGAGCCGTTTAAACTCTATATGATGAGAGGTTATTTTGTTGTCCATTTTCCTTACGGAAGCTTTCTGTTTGTAAACATGGCGTTGCTGCAAGTTGATGGTATTAGTGATTTACTAATAGTTATAAAGTTACACTAAGAAACAGGGTGTTTTTGCTCTTCTTCTTTTCTTTTTTTAAAACTTTGACAGCAATTATATAGATTATTCGGTGTAGAATTTCTTTGCCTACAACCCTCTGCTGAGAAATGGACACAGGAAGCCAATTTTCGCACCAACCTTAATGATACAAAACCTTTTCTTTCAATTTCTTCATCATCGGAATTGAATTGCTTCTGTTGGCCGGAGTCTTGGTCGTCGGAAATCCTTGACTCTCAGTTTGCTGCATCGTAAGAGGTAATCTTGTTAATTGTATTTCTGTTTGCTCCAGTTGTGTTGTGTGCAAAGTATGCTTTCTCTCAATATACCTCCCTGATTCAATCAATTATGCTTTCAGTATGTTATTGCCGTATGATTTAGTTTCTCCTGGTGTTGAGAGGAAAACAGATTGTTGCCATCCTTCCTTTCTTCGGAGTTCAAAAATACTATGATGGCTCCATTGCTTTATATGTTTATTTCATTGTTTTGTCTGTGATTCATCAATCCCAAAGTTTCGTTTTAATCCCGATCGAATAAGGAATTTTTTTTTCATACTCTTTCATAACATAAATATTGTTAACAACTCTATGGCATTAAAAACAAAAAAAAGTTTGTGACGCTGAAATGAACTTTCGATAGATAAAGAGAAAATTGGAAATAACCCTTATCTAATACTACTCTCTCGATACAATACAAAAACTAATGTTTCGAAGAAAAAAAATACAAAATTTTCTCATATCGAAGTCCAAGTGTCATGCTATTATTACTTAGTATTCATATGGTGAAGGCATAGTATTCTTTTTTTTCTCTCAAATAAAAACCTCATTGGCGCCAAACATGAGGGAATGTTATACATTTGGTAAGTTGTTCTCCGACCAGGATAAAAGATCCCATTGAAGCAATTAATCCTATGCATATTGTATGGATATCTGATCGCACAAATTGCATAGTATCATAAATGGCAATTCCAGGTATTGCCTAGCCCCAGGAGAGTTTACAAACAAATATGATAAGTATTTATGGTATTCTTGAAAAAAATAATAATGCATAAGTACCCCTTTCAAATTAAAGTTAAAATAGGTCAAGTAAATTGAAGCACGAGGGTTTTTTTTTATTTCCCGTTCGATGTCTAAAGCTTGCATTAAAGTTAGGACTGGACATGAAATATTGAAAACCGAATTATCGAACCGAATTGATTTTTTTTGTTATTTGATATTCGGTAATTAGGTATTCAGGAGTAAAATACTGTATTCGGGTTTGGATTTGGTATGAGTCATTAGTACCATTTGGTATTTCTCGAATACTGAATTATTTATTTATTTAATGAAGATCATATATCAATATGTCAATTACTCATTAGTACAAGTCCAAAGAGAAAGTTAAAAAATAAACATAAACAACTCAAATATATGTCTTTTAATTGTATCAATTTATTTTTCTTAATGTTTTCTTACTTATTGATCTTCTATTATATCGTGCTTCTACATAAAAAAAATAGAAATGATTGAAGAAATAATATTAACTTTGTAATACAATATGCTACAACTTCAATACGATGTTACCAAACACCATATCAAATCAAAACTTAATTTCCCAATTAGCGAACCCAAAGTTTGATAATCACATACCGAATACCAAACGTCCACCCCTAGTTTTATTTAGACTTAAAAATAACATTTGTAAGAAAATATTGGAGCCTTAACCAGCAAATTAGATTTATTAGGTCTCATTATTCCCAATTCCTAGAGTATAGTTGGAGTTAAAGAATGGTGTAGTAGATATTTCATCATTCATAGTCACCGGCGAATTTGTTTGTTTTCCGATGGATGAAGAAAAAGCAATTTCTTTTTGTTCTCCGATGAAGAGCAAAATATATGTTCGTTTTCCGATAAACGGAGGAGGAGAAGAAGTTGTCGTATCTCCGCGGAGCCGAGATGATATGACAGTATTTGAGATTTGGGGATGTATTAGTTGTGTATATAATGGTCGATTACTCCGTATGTTTTCTCTAATTTGTGAATTAGGGTTTGCTAAAATTTGGAGATTGAAAACAAAAAATTAAGTCTTTTTAATAGTTGAATGACCCTTTACTGTTGTTTGAGATGCTGATTTGTTGTTTTTTTTTTCTTTGTTTCAGCGGAGTTGTTGTGGTGGGTTTTTAGTTGCTTTCCACTAAACTGTTTGAGCGTTGCCTTCGATTATTTCGTGGCTATTCCCTTACATCTTAATAGAGTAATCTGCAATTTGGGCTTCTTTTTCTACATTTTATTTCAATCTGTTGTCCTACTCTACCCTTTGTTGAACAATTATTGGTATCCCTATAGAACTCCCTTCCGATCAATGGGTCCCAAAGGGAAATTTATGATCGACTTCATTCCCACCCTAACTGCTGCAGCTTTGAGTTTGAATTTGTTGAATGATGCGGACGATAAGGGGTTATGGCACTTTCTAGAGATCAATTATGGGTATCTCTTTCTATTGCTTGGCTGCACGGGATACTTCTATGTTGTTGCTCACTTTATTCGTAGAGCGTATGATATTAATGGAAAAGACGTTATCTTGGGGTTAGCAATGCAGGCCTTTTGCTTTATGGTGAACGGGCGATTGTTGGTTAGAGCCATCGCTTTGAGCTTCTGCTTTGGTATTAGTATCTATAGATACATGACATATGCCGCTCCTCCTGCATTACCTCCTCGTCCCAAAATGGAGTCGTCGGATATGCTGCCTTACTGATCTGAGGATGCCTTTAATATAACTTCCTTTCATTTCTCGTGTCAGTAATTTACCAGAATGCCTTAAATTTTCACTAGTGTTCTCTCTTACTTTGTTTGCAATATAATCTGTCATCTTGTTCCTCTATTTATATACAATGCCTATGAACATAAGAATAGCTCAAGTTCTATACGACATAACTAATCAAGCAACTGATGACAGACACTCATGTTACATTACAAGTAATTAAAATAATATCTACAAGCATTGACTGATAATAGGGAAAACGTTTAGGCATGAATGTGTGCTCAAATTGGAATTGAATGATATCAACTAATTAAACATATGCAGCTTGATATTGATATTGGTAGTAGAGAGAGGAGAAGAGAAAATAAAAAAACTGCACTTCCAAATTCCTACACAAAGAGACCATTTAGCAATCCGCCAGTAAGGTCTTTAAAGGAAATAATAGTAGAGATTGCCTTTAGTACTGGTCATACTATCAACTCAGAACATAACAAGAAAAACACTCGAAAGGCTGAGATATAGTAATAAAGAGGGACTAGCTAGAAGCGCTGGACAATGTAATTGAACCCCTCAAAATTAAAATGCATAGCAGCCATGTTGCAAATAGAGGTACAAGATAAGCCAACATTTGTACACTAAACTATATAGATAAACATAATCCATAATTAGCTAGGGAAAGGAATTGAAATCCAAATATCAAACAGGAATGTCACTCACTTGCTCATTAATCAATCATAAATTCTATACTAAACAATAATGAAACCATCCATCAATTCCATCTTCATCGAGCTTGAACCTCAACTTCTCTAGCAATCCTCATCTGTACTGCCCTATCAACGATATATCTGATGATAAGTACCGCTACACAAGCTGCCCCAGTCCTCGCCCATACCAGCATTTCAGCATCCTCATTCTCCCACGACAATTTCACAGTCAGCAACCCAAAATCGGTCGCAATAAACATCAACATAAATGCAAAAGATATAGTTCCTTGCAAACAATGCTAGATTCTTATACTCGCCTTCGAGTAAAGGCAGGGATAATATGCCTACAGCAGGTCCTACCAAAAAACCTGCACGGCCTATCTCAGCATGGAGTTGGATAACTCCAATTTTTTGGAGAATAAGATATAAAGTAAACAAGGCATGAAGAGCATAAATTGTTCACCCAACGTAAACCTTCCAATCATATATACTTCCTTGGTAAGACGTTGTCCACAAAAACTACCTACGTAGCATAAAAAAAAAATTATACCACATACGAGTTCGTGTCTGTTGAACATTTGCATTTTGGTAGATGGGTGTGGCTCCATTCTTGAAAAACATTCAAACTTTGAAGCTAAAAATTGAAACTTTGAAATTGAACCTACAGATTGAAAAAACTTATGGGTATGCGTGTGCCTCCATGCATGCTAGAAAAGTTTCAATCTTTGAGTGAAAAAACAAAAATATGCAAACTTAATAGTAACACCCAATTAATGGAAACTTCACAAAAATGGAAGCCTCTGTAAATGGGAGTATGAAGAACATGTAATTTCTTCTTATTTCATTTGGTCAAAAATACCCTTTTTAACTTATTCACAATTATTACCTTTATTTTTATGTTAACCTTACTAATTTAACGGTTTTTTTAATTTCAATTTTGTTTATTAGAAAAAACATTAGATTATTTTATATTAAAATAAATTGTTATATTGAAGTCATGTCACGTAGACAAATTAAAGACGACGACCATATATCAAGATGCATGGGAAGGCTATTGTTATGTCAACCTCACTAATTTATTTGAACATTTTTATAAAAAAATCATTTAATTTTGTTTCGTTGAAAAAATAAAAAGAAAATTAGAATACATATAATAATCTTATATATACCATGTCTGAATTTTTTTAATAGCAATTTTCACATATAGCAAACATAAAAAATCATATTTGTATGTTATAGTTATAGTTTGCACAATTGCGCTCTATATCAAACATAACTATGTATATTTCGCTATACATATACAAAAGAATGCAGTTGTATTATCTGTTTCTGTTTCGGAATACACAGAGGCGAATCCAGGATTTCAAGAAAACGGGTGCACCATTGCTTTAGAATTTCATTTTTTTTTTTTTGAAAAACGAGTGTTATTAGTTACTAAAAAAAATTGGTGAATTGTGGCTGGCTGGGATTGAACTCAGGACCTTGGTGTTAAAATCTGGCTGTCAAACCAGTGAACCATCCTACAACTTTAAGAACGGGTTCAACAAGTGTTTATTTAATACGTTCTTTAATAATTATACAACTAATATATCGAGTTTAGTCAGAGGACCACGGGTTCGGGTGACCCAATTTTTACACATAAATTCGCCACTGGGTATACATATACAAAAGATCAATTGTATAATCTGTGTTTGTATAAAGTGAGAAAGAGAGAAAGACAACAGAAAACTGGGCAGGGGAAGATCGTATTTGTATAATCATAAGTGTATAGGACGAAATATATAAGCATTTGTATTTGTATATACAATTTTCTCTCGCTTTATACAAACACAAACGCAATGTATACATTTGTGTTTGTATAAAGTGATAGAGACGAGTGAGAGTGGCGAGCGAGATCTGGGAGAGGGGAACGAAAATATATGTATATATACAATTTTCTCTCCCTTTATACAAACACAAACACATTTTATACATTTGTGTTTGTATTAAAGCGAGAGAGGCGAGAGCGATTGCCAGCGAGAACGAGAATGGCGAGCGAGATTCAGGAGAGAGGCGAATTAGCAATAGTTTGCTATGGGTACAATTAAATCAAACTATGTTTATAGCATTCAATTTGAATTAATAATTTGCTATTATATACAATTTTCCTTTTTTTAATGGCTTGTGCATATATGAATAAATTTTAGTTATTTTTGTACAAATTTTTTTATGTTGTATCTTGCATATTTAGCTAGTAGATAGTAGTGTACTCCCTCTGTTCCTAATTACTTGTCCACTTTTTCTTTTATAGTTGTCCCTAATTACTTGTCCACTTTGACAAATTAAGAAAGGACAAAATAATTTTACCCATTACATTTATTACTTTGAAAAAGGTAGAAATTTTTGAAAATCTTAAATTTTTAATCCATTCACTTCATAATTAATAGGGGTAAAATGATAAACTCACTATGTCAATAATTAATTTCTTAATAGGTGTGTCAATTCAAAAGTGGACAATTAATTACGGAGAAGAAGTATCTCATAAAGATGATATGTATTTAATACACAATTCCACCATGTCTGAATTTTTTTAATGGCTTATGCATATATGACTGAATTTTAGTCATTTTTTGTATAATTTTTTTTATGTTGTATCTTCTATATTTAGCTAGTAGATAGTAATGTATCTGATAAAGATGATATGTATTTAATACACAACTTATGCCAATAGAGAAAAAAAAAAAATTAAAAATGTTGCAAGTCATGAATCATCGATCCTAGTCCAATATTTGCATGCACGAATATAATTGACCTAAAATTTCCTATCATTGACTACTTTGTTAATTATACTTTGAGACATTAGTTTTCATCTTTTTTAATTTATTCTTTTTGTGAATGTTGTTTGATAAATGTTTAGCCCTTATACTCTATTACGTCATCTAAAAGGTATTTATAGGATCATAATCTTGAAAATAAGGTAGATAATAGGTAAAATGCATATTTTTTATTATATAATCAATGTGTATAAGTTAATTGTAAGTTATATATACCGACACAATCAATGTAGCTTAAAATGTGATAGTGCGAGGTATATTACTCAAACTCTTTAAATATATTTTTGATAAGGTGTTGGATCCTTCGGCCCAACATTGTTGGAGGCTCAAAAATGAGTACGACAATATTTTTTGAGAATATTTCCTTGTTAGAAAAATTTTATTAGAAAAAAGATTTTTTTTTCCTTCCTTCAAATGGAAAATTAAGTTATTAATTGGACCTTAATGACAGGATCAGTTGAATCATCTCAAGAACTTGAATTAATATTCTATCAGCTGGCCATGAAGGTAAAACGCACCTTCGATCCAATAGACAATTGATATACCTGCAAATGAACAATTTGCTAAAAAAAGTTTAGCTTTGACAACATAAATGAATTTTTACAGTATCAGATCATCTAAAACATGAATTATTGTCTACAAGTAAAACGTTCATAAAAACTGAGATTAGTGAGTCGGAAAGCAAGACAAACATATACCCACTACAACATGTTAACATACATTGGTAATATGAAAGTTAAATCCTTCAACAATTTCATTGATTAAGTTCAAGCCAAATATCAAAACTAAATTGGATATGTTTCAAAGTACTAAGTGTCATTTTCTCTAATCGAGAATCAATTTGGCTAACCTTTAAAGCTAAATTATATTATTTTAAAACAAAATTGAGTATAGTTATTGAGTATCGTTTGAGATATTATCGCAATATGAAAGGTTTTGTCGTACTAATTGTGTATTGATATTTGGTCAAAAGTGCATATACTTAGATTATTATTATTATTATCTTTATTCTAATTTATTTATGTGTCACACCTAAAATTTTGAATTTACATAAATTTCTGTGTGATGTATCTTTTGGCTTTTTTATGAGTTAAAAGATCAGAAACTAACATAATTGCATATTCTCTCTTTTCACGTTCTTTTTAAAACAAATTGTAATAGTTATTACTTCTTTTTTTATAATAGTGGTGTTTGAATTTTTGTGTATCTTGACTAAATACTGTGAATATATGACCAAACCCTAGCTTAATATTTTGTCTTTTAAAGCTATGAGATTTTTTGAATAATCCGAGCTGGAATGCTAACTCCTTCCACTCTCAACCGCTTTTGGTTATTTTACTTGCAGCCCTATCTATTGATACCAGTTGGGGAACTGATCCCTCTTTGCAAGCTACTTACACTTCGGCTCAAGACGAATAAGCTAGCAATCTCGAAGCGAAAGGAGAATTCTTTTACTGTTTGATATCGACATCTTTTTCTGTCTCTAACTAACTGAAAAGTCATCTTTAGAATCAAGTCGATCATGTGGAATGTACAGGTGTAAGTTAGCGTCCTGTTCTATGAATTTCTAAAGAACTTTTGTTATTTTTGCATTACGG